CGCCGCCGCCCGCCCCCCCTTCCTCCTGCGCCCGCCCGCCGGGCCCAGCCCCCGCCTGGCCCGGCCCCTGAGGGCGCGGGGGCTGCCGCGCCCGCAGCCGCCAGGAGGGCAGGAGCCGCAGGCGCGCAATGCCCAGTACAGGGACCGCGTTCCATCTGGCCGGGCCGGGCCGGAGCCTCGAGGCCGTGCTCCGCCCGTTCACTGCGGTCCCGCAGGGAGTAGGGCGCAGATCCCGGCCGGGCCACCGCATCCCTGCCTCCTTGGCGGGCCCTGCCCGACTTAGCCCGGCCCAGGCGGTGTAGTGCAGGCTCCCCTCCCTCCCTAACTGGCTGACCTCTCTCGTGTAAGTCCAAAGCCAGAAAGAGCAATGTTCCCTTGAGGAACCCCAAATCGCTACCCTTCGGGGCCCTCAAACTTCCTCTCCTTTTGCCTCACCCCGAATTCTGAAGTTTGGCCAGCCTTGCCTCTGCTGGACCCACTGCTCCGGGAAAGCCCTAGACTCTGGGGAAGTCTCCCTTGGCCTCACGCAGTCCGACAGCATCAGGGCTTCAAAAGACCCTCAGTACACTAACTCATCCTGAGACACTCTGCCTTCCTGGGTGCACGTTGACCTAGAATCTTTTGCTGAGTACACTCGGGTGGCCCCACCATTCCCCTCCTACCTGGGCAGATCTGACCTTGGGTACAGCTGGTGGCCTCCCCCTTAATGAAATTACCAACATAAATAAAGGCACAGGCCAACTTCCCAGGATTTCTGCCCTCCTTTCTGAATCCCTCCCTGTTGTCCGCTAAGGTTCACCCTCATGTGCCCACAATACTCTTTCAGGCAAGCACCACCCAAGGCCTGAGGCCCCGATTTTGGCTAGTGTAGGACCGTTTTCTGCTTCGGAACTACTGGCTGCTTCCCCACCCTGGGACCTCCCATGTGCCATATCCTGGCAACTCTAAGAGGCAGAGGAGACAGCTCCATTTTCTAGGTGAAGGCCTGGGGCTGGGAGAGGTGGCCTTACTTGCTCAAGGTCTTGAAGGAAGGAGCACTGGGTTTCAGCTGATGTTTGCCTGGCTCCTACTGCCATGTAACACATGAAGTTCTCCCCTATCATCCTACTGGGAGGGATCCCAAGACTCCATGTACCTCACTCACTTTCCCCAGTAGATAGGGAGCTCCAGTTGCTCAGGGCCATATCTGACCTGTCCCTTTATGTCAAGGCCCTAGCACAGCACCTGGCACACAGTTAAGTGCCAACAAATGCTGAAGGAACCCAAAAGGTCTTCCAAGTCCCAACCTCTCTCTGCATTTCACATAGGAGATTATTTTTAGATAATTTACATTTCCATGTTACTTTATATATACCAACAACTCCACAGTCATTTTTCCTCTTTATCTTCCCAAGAGCTCTTTTTGGATCATGCTGGCATGCATGCCCATTTTTAAGAGGTGACCACTCAGAGAGAAGACAGTACCCAAAGACCAGCCCCAGGGTGCAGGACCTTCTGTATGATTTGGAAGTCCATGCCCTGACTTTTTCCCTGACAGTGGAATGTGTCCCCTGACAGTTATCCCTCTGGCTGCCTCCCTTCCTATGACCAAAGATGCTCTAGCTGGGCAATGCTAGCACTCACTTTCAGTAAGAGTATCCTATTGCCTAAGTAGTGAGGTCCCTATTTGAGCCGAGGTCTCTCTTCCCAGTTCCAAGACCCACTTCAGTACCACTAAGCAAGACCACCTCTCCATCCATTCTGGGTCTTTGCCTGCTTTTCAGAACCTAAAATCTTGGTTGTCAATCTTAGGCTGAGTTCTAGTGTAGCAAAAGGTATACTATAAAGGAGAGACAAACAGACTTGGAACTGAATCCTGACTACTATTTACCATGATATCCTTCATGCTCACAGGTCTCATTTGGCTGCTTCCCACCCTTCCCAATCCCTTTGCTGGATGACTGCAGGCAGGTCACCGAGCTCCAACTTCACATTTGTATAATAGGAAAGATGTTGTGGATGTAAAGATCCAATGAGATGAAGAGTGCTTGGCCTATAATAAGTGCCAAATAAATGCCGTTTTCTCCTTCATAGGGGCTGCAAAGTATTCAACGAAGAAAATGAGCATTATTGATACTTTTTGTGTTTCCTTCATTCAACAAACATTTATTAAGCAACCATGATGCAGCAGGGACTGGGAGTATGGTCATGGGATCCCCATGGTCCTTGCCCTCCTGGAGCTCACCAACAGGTGCAGAAGACAGCCACTCTCAGTCACTGAAGCTTAGGACACAGACCATGATGGGAGGAGGGAGCTGCAATAGCAAATAATGGATGGGAGGGGCTGCTTTGCATATGGGAATCCGGGAAGCCCCACTGAGGAGGTAGCATTTGAGCAGTGACTTAAATGACAGGTGCCAAAGAGTCAACCATGCTAAGTTCTGAGCAAAGAGCATTCCGGGTGGAAGCAACAGCAAGGGCAAAAACCCGGAGGTAGGGAAGAGATTGGCATTTTCCAGAACCTGGATGGAGGCCAGTGTGGTTAGCCTGAAGTGAGTGAGGAAGAGTTGAAAGGCAGGAGTCCTGACAATCACAGGAAAAATTTTGGATTGCATTCTAGATGCTATGGAAGCTATTGATGAGCTTTAAAACAGGGCTGAGACAAAGGAGAGAGGCAGTTAGGAGTGGAGGACAGCTATGGGTCCTCCAGGAGTGTGCAGAGGCCTGTCATCTTGGAGGCCAGAGGCCTGGAGTCCTCTTTGGCACCTCACTCAATACAACCCAGCCCCTCACCCCTAGGGGAACTAGGAGAGTAGTGCTAAGTCCTTGCTAAGCTGAGGACTGAGGGTAGCCTCATGCAGCCCATCCCCACTTCTGCAGAAAGGAGTCCCTGGGCCTTTGGCCTATTCATGTCAGACGGGTCCTCAGAGAGGTCCTGCTCACAGCATGCTGGGGTGTAAGCATCCCACAATGCCCAGCTTATGGGGGCAATTATGGTCCCGGGGGCAATGGCACCTCTTTTCTTTCCATCCCAGCCACCTGCCAAAAGGACAAAATAGGCTATCCCTTGAATCAAAGGCCAGTGGATGCCTTGTATTATTTTTACACTTAGTCCAAAGGAGACTGGGGTTGAAGATAAAGTGTCCAGACCTCCAAGGCTCATGTCCACTTCCAATTATGATAGTAACTGTACTAAGTCACAAGAGCTTGGTGATAAAGGGTCCACATAGAGTGTACAGTCCAAACTCTGCCTTTTCTAGATGGGTAAACTGAGTCCCACAGAAGGGAAGAGGCTCAGGGCCACCAGGCAAAGCTGGGTACCTGATCTCTGCTTGGTTTGGCCAGATCACCTGTTTTTCCTGACCTCTGACGTTGGGCCAAGATATGAGAAAGGTCTGCAACTCAGGGCTGAGATGGCCCCAACCTTACCTACTGGAAGTTCCAGGCCTGGGGTGGGGCAGAGTGACTCAAGTCCCCCTAGAGGCCTGCCCAATAAAAGGCTGAGAAGATCAGGGAGGCTTCAGAGCCTTGGGGAAGTGTGGTTTCCATGCTGGGTGCTGGTGCCAATTCCATCAAGGGTTTATGCAGTCACTTGCTATCCCCTATTCCAAAGCATCTCCCTCTGCAGTGTACCCAGCCATGCCGAACTGCAGCTGCACACCCACCCCATCCCTGGAAGAGCTTTCTGATCATTCAGCTTGGCTCAAGAGCTTCCTCTGGTCACTCACAGATGCCTGGGCTTTCTCTGTCCTGGCTCTGACCACACCATATCACGACTGCTTCATTGCCTGTGTCTACCAGTGCCTAGAACAGGAGTTAAGGTATAATAAATAATTATTAGATAAATGAATAAATAGGCAACCAAATGGAAGAATGAATGGGCTGATTCTCAAAAGGAAGTGTCAGACTGAAGTCTATAGCATTTTCCACCGTGCTATCCTGCCTCCACATGATCAATCAATCCATCCACATTAATTGTGCTCCTCCTAATAGACTCTGTCATTGGTTGACCTTCCATGAGTGTCTTACTCTCTCTAAGCCTCAGTTTTCAATGGTGATAAAATGGGAATATTAATAATTATACTTAAACGGGTATGGTGGCTCACACCTATAATCCCAGCACTTTGGAAGGCCAAGGCAAGAGGATCACCTGAGGTCAAGAGTTGTTTTTTTTGAGACGGAGACTCAAGCTATCCCCCTGGGTAGAGTGCCATGGCATCACAGCTCACAGCAACCTGCAACTCCTGGACTCAAGCGAGTCTCCTGCCTCAGCCTCCCAAGTAGCTGGGACTACAGGCGCCCGCCACAACGCCCAGCCATTTTTTGGTTGCAGCCATCATTGGTGTTTGGAGGGCCCGGGCTGGGGATTCGAACCCGCCACCTTAGGTGTACGTGGCTGGCGCCTTAGCCGCTTGAGCCACAGGCATGGAGCCAGGTCAAGAGTTTTTAAGACCATTCAACACAACGTAG